AGTTATATTTCTTTCTTTTGGTATAAAATAGAAATGTCTAAAGAAGACATTTAATAAATCTTATTATTTTTTTAGCCAATAAGTGATATTAAATATAAATTTTGACAAGAACATGCTTCAATGAATTTATTAATAATTCAAAACTCATGTTGATATAAAGTGCTCAAGGTTCTTTTGATTTGTATAAACAATCACAAAATTAAAAGAATCTTTTGGATAATGATGTCATTTTTAAGATGAATCTATAATTGCAAGAAGTTTTTTGTTATAGATTTTATAATTAATCTTAATAGTTATAATTTTTTAAAAATAAAAAGCTATTAAGTGAATTTTACCATATATTTCAATTCGTGACAATATTACACTCAAGACAAAGTTTAATATGTTTATTTTTATAAAAAATATTTTTAAAAAAATGATATTATATAAGTTTGGCATAAAAATAAAAGTTATCTACAAGTGCTCTTTGAACTTCTTTGTTTCATTCAAGTTTGTCTTCATATATCAAATATATAAATGGAACTACAACTAAAGAATTTTTTTTGATAAAGATTTGATAGTAATTCAAAAAATTCAAAAAATATTAAACATCTCTTATTCATTTTAAAATCTTTCAATCTATGATAGTCCAATTTTTTTAGGATCTATCATAAAACCATTATTTGAAATAATATATCCTAAGAATTCAACTTAAATAATATATGATACACATTTTTTCATCTTGGTCTAAGGTTCAATATCTCTTAATTTTTGTAATATATAATAAATATAGAATTTATATTTTTTATATTTATAGAGTAGATTAAAATATTTTTTAGATAATAAGCAACAACATCATCTAAAAACTCTAAAAAAAAAATCATTTATAAGATGTTGAAAAGTAGTTAGTGTATTTGTGAATTCAAAAGGCATGACATTATATTCAAAATATCCATGCTTTCTTTGAAATATAATCTTCTATTCATTTCATTTTTTGATGTGTATCAAAAATATATACTCTTCATAGATCTATTTTTTATAGAATTTGACTTGATTCAATTGATCAAAAAGTCCAAATATCAAAAATAGAGGGTATCTATTCTTTATAATAATCTTATTGAATTTTTGATAATCCACATGCATTTACAATGATGCATCTTTTTTCTTCATAAATAAAATAGTAGTTCTTACTAAAGATTTTAAATAGCATATAAAATTCTTAGCAAGGTTTTCATTAATGTACTTTTTGAGTTCAACTAATTCATTTTGTGATAAATTTTATATTAATCCAAATGGTTTTTGAGCTCCATCTTAAAGATCAATTGAGCAACTATAAAGATAATATTTTGGAAGATTATTAACATTCTTCTTTTTTAAAATATCTTGGTAATCTTAATATTAGTTTGAAATGTCATTTAAAGTCTTTATACTATAACAAATTAGTGAGTATGTATAATAAAATATAATCTATTTTTTAGCATGCATAAAAATTCTTTCACCTACAAATAAGGATTTAATTGTATTAAACTTTGGATTTTCTATTTGATTAACAAAACTCTTAGTTATACTTTAAAAAAAAATTAAGACTATCAAAAATCTAATCTATCTAAAGATTATGCTTTTTTAGCTATGATAAATCTAAAATAATTAGATTAAAGATGGTTTTAATTATATTAAATATCACAATGCTATAATGACCATTTGTTGTTATTTTTATAGGAATTATTTTATAGATAATATCTCTAAAAGATAATAGACAACTATTTATGATTTTTAAATATATAAATTAATTTTTTTATTAAAAATATGCTATATCTTTAAAAAACTCTTCATATAAGAAATAAGATGAGACTACTGAATATAACAAAGCATAGGCTTTGTAATTTTTAGGTCTTAAACAAGCATCTTTTATAAAAAAGAAAAAAATTTAAGAAGAATATATGACCATTATTAAATATTGTACAAGATTCTAGCTCCATGATTTCTATTATAATTAAGCAAACTTGTTTTTTAACATATCGTCTTTTTTGACAACCATACTTCTTTGGACAATGTTGAACAATGTGCTTATGTTCTTTATTATACAAGCGCAATTTTTTTCACAACAACAACTCTTTTCTTCTTTAATAACAAGTTTAAAATGTATTGCGCTAATTTGCATGTCTTCTACTTCTAAATGTATATATTAAGAAGATACAAATATATCTTGTTTTATAAAGTTTATTAAAAACTTCTTTACTTAGGTCATTTTTGTTATGTTTAGTTATCATAACTTGTCTTTAGATGGTAAATTATTATCTTGATAATAATTCAAAAAATTAAAAATACTCAATTTTTTTTAATATATTTAAGAAGTTTTTTAAAATTTAAAAATATTCGAATATTTATTGGAGATAAATTCTATTATATTACATCATACTTAATGAATAATAATATTTTTACTTATTATTGATACATACTTGAAGTGGAAACTAGTACCAAAATAAAACAAAATAAAAATAAAAATAAAGATAATTTTTTTTTATTAAAATTATAAATTTTTAATCCTAAATCCTAAATTCCTAAAATCCTTAATTTTAAATCTAATCAAAGTAATTTTCACCTTATCTTTTAACCTTTTTACAATATATATTAATTTATTTATAATAAGATAGTAGATAGATGTTCAAATAGAATGATGTTAAAGAAGACCAATGATGGTTGATATTGAAAGAAAGAAAAATTGTATAAAGATTGTGTTGAATGGATTTTCTACTTCATTAGAGAATATGGTTCAAATTAACATGACTATGTACAATCCATTGCATATGTTTAAAACATAAATTATATGATTTTAAATCATTTATATGTCTAATTTATTAAAAAAATAATCTAAATATGATATTTTAGAATCAATATATATATATATATATATATAGACAAGATATCTATTTTATTATTCTATTTTCAACAACTCTATATGAATTTTATTGTGTGTTTATTTATATATATATTTAAGATAATTTTAATTTTTTTTAAATCTCATATCTCTTAAGCTATAGACTTGCTAAAGATTTTATATATACCATTAGAATCATAAGTATGATAAATAAGAAAATAAGTTAATTTTAAAATTTTAAAAGAAAAACCTTTAAGAAAGTCAATAAAAAATATATTCAATTAAAGGTCTTATATCTAAAAATTCATATTTTTAGAAAATTCTATTTCTACCATTAAATTTTTAGATCTCTAAAATAAAAAATTTGATCAAATCAAAACTTAATTTTTTTTATCCATTTTCAAAATTAATTAAAATATTGAAATGGTCAAACACTCAATATTCAAAAATGTATATACTTTTAGAACAATGTAATATCATGTTTAAAATGAGCAATCCCTAAATGGATTAAATGATAATTTTATAACTCTCAAAACTCCTTTTTTAGCAAAAACTATAAACCTAAAAGCTAGGTCAAATATGTTATATCTTGGAAACTAAGAACTTGTAGAGCAAGTAATTTATACCGTAAGAATTGTAGATAATACAAATAAAGAAATATTTTAAATCAGAATATTAAAATAAAAAAGGTAAGAAATTAGAAATATCCATGGAATTCTAAATTGTACATTCTAAACTTGAAGATAGTGTTGGTAGAGCTTGCCACTTCATTAAAATATAATGCAATTTGGCATAATTTAATACAATCCATTATATAGGCTTAAAGCATAGGTTATATGATTTTAATTTATTTATATATATAGAATATTTAAAAAGTAATATAGATAAATTTAGATATATTTATTTATTTTTTAAATATGCTTTTTTATATATTATGTAAAATATTATTAAGAAATTTTAGAAATCTCATATTTTTTAAACTATAGACTTTCTAAAAAATTTAAACACATTTTTAAAACCAAAAGCATTACTAATTAGGAAATATTTCAATTTCAAATTTCAAAAAGACACTTAAAAAATAAATTCAAAAAAATGAAGTACGAAGTGGTTATATATTTAAAATTTTAAAAACTTATAAAAAATTATAAGCCCACAATTATATTTGTAGACCTTCAAAATATAGACATATTTTACATTGTAATTTTAAAAATCTTATCTATTTTTAAATCAACTAAAAAATCAAAAATAATAAAATCTTCAATATCTATAAATCTATATATTTCAAGAACATATAAATGAGATATTTAGAATGTACAATCTCAAAATGAATCTAAAGGTGTTTTTATAATTTTTAAAAATATTTATATAAAAAATGTCTAAATTCTTAAGCCTAAAACAAATTTGCTATATTTTACAAAGTATGAATTTATAGTATAAATTATTTATACCATTAGAAATAAAAAATAAAAAAAAGTAATAGAAGTTGAAATTTAAATATTAGTCCATAAATTGAAGACACTCTTGTAACTCTTAATTCTAAATTTATACCATAAATCTTTATTCTAAATCTTAAATCTTAAATCCTAAACTCTAAAATCTAAAATAATTATAGATTATTACTATAAATAATAATATTTTACTTGATTTTTATTATTAATGATAATTTATGATGTTAAGTTATTCAATTCATTTAGCAATGATATCAACTTCTAATACTCCTATTTAAGGTAGTCACAGATGTGAGGTTATCCAATTCATTTGGCAATGATGTCAACCTCTAATATCCACTTTTATTTAAAATAGTCAAAATTATAAGGTTCTCCAATTTAATTAGCAATGATGTCAAGCTTTATCACTTATTCATATTTAAGATATTCAAAGATGTAAGATTGTCCAATTTATTTAACAATGATGTAAAATTCCAATACTCAATTAAATTTAAGGTAGTCAAAGATGTAAGGTTACCTAATTCAATTAGCAATAATATCAACATTCACCACTTAGTCATATTTAAAGTAATTAAAGATGTAAAGTTGATGAATTTATTTGGTAATAATCTCAACAAGCACCCACTTAGAGTTAAGGTAGTCAAAGATGTGAAATTATTAAATTTATTTTATAATGGTATAAATCAATGCCTCCTTATATTTATGGTAGTCAAAGATGTAAGGTTGTTTAATTGTTTTAGCAATAATGTCAATATTGAATATTTATTTATATTTAAGCTAGCTAAAGATATGAGGTTGCTCAATTCTTATAACAATGATGTCAAGCTTGAGTACCTACTTGTACCTAAGGTAGTCAAAGATGTGAGGTTGCTCAATTCATTTAGCAAGGATCTCAAGCTTGAGCATCTACTATTATAAAAGATAGTCAAAGATATGAGGTTGTTTAATTAATATGGCAATGATGTCAAACTTGAGCACCCACTTCTGTCCAAGATAGTAAAAGATGTGAAATTGCTTAATGCATTTAGCAATGATGTCAAACTTGAGTACCCACTTATGTCCAAGGTAGTCAAAGATATGAAGTTGTCCAATTTATATAAGAATGATGTCAAGCTTGAACATCCTTGTATATTTTAAATAATCAAAGTTGTAAGATTGCATGATTTTCTTGGCAATGATGTCAAGCTGAAGCATTTACTCATGTTTAAGTAAGTAAAAGATGTAAAGTTGCTCAATTTATTTGGCAATGATGTCAAGTGATGGTACCTCTTATATTTAAGGTTGTCAAAGTTATGAGGTTGTATAATATATTTGGCAATAATATCAATCTTAAATACTTGCTAATATAAAAGATAGTCAAAGATGTGAAGTTGTCTAATTCATTTGGCAATGATATCAAGCTTGAGCATTCACTTACATTTAAAGAAGTCAAAGATGTAATATTGCCCAATTCATGTGGCAATGATGGCAAGCTTAGATACTGACTTATATTCAAGATAGTGAAAGATGTAAGGTTGCACAATTCATTTGGTAATGATGTCAAGCTTGAGCACCTCTCTATATTTAAGGTAATCAAAGATGTGAGGTTATCCAATTCATTTGGCAATGATATCAAAAACGAGCATCCACTTATGTCTAAGGTAGTCAAAGATGTGAAGTTGCTCAATGCATTTAAGAATGATATCAAGCTTGAGCACTCACTTATATTTAACGTAGTCAAAGATATAAAGTTGCTTAATTTATTTGACAATGATGTCAAGCTTGAGCATCTATTCATGTCGAAGGTAATCAAAGATGTGAGATTGCACAATTCATTTTGCAATGATGTCAAGCTTGAGCACTCACTTATATTTAATATAGTCAAAGATACAAGGTTGCCTAATTCACTTGGCAATGATATCAAGTATGAGCATCTATTCATGTCCAAGGTAGTCAAAGATGTGAGATTACCCAATTCATTTGGCAATGATGTCAAGTTTGAGCACCCACTCATATCTAAGATAGTCAAAGATGTGAGATTGCCTAATTCTTTAGGCAATGATATCAAGTTTGAGCATTCACTAATATTTAATATAATTAAAGATGTGAGGTTGGTCAATTTATTTGACAATGATGTCAAACTTGAACACCCCTCTATATTTAAAGTAATCAAAGATATAATATTACCTAATTCATTTGGCAATGATGTCAAGCTTGAACACCTTTTCATATCTAAGGTAGTCAAAGATGTGAGATTGCCTAATTTATGAAGCGATAATATGAAGCTTGACCATCCACTTGTCTCTAAGTTTATTAAATATGTAAAGTTATCTAATTCATTTGGCAATAATGTCAAACTAGAACATTGACTTAAATCGAAGGTAGTCAAAGATGTGACATTATTCAATCCATTTGGTAATATAATCAAGCTTGAGCATGATGTCATAAATAAATATTTAGTACACCTCAACAATTTACAAATTTCCAAAAAAGTTGGTCGATCTTTTGGGTTGAATTTCCAACAATCTTTTATCATAGTCTCTAAAATTGATGGACAATGATCAAGTAGAGTTGGACATTCATCACTCTTTACTTCTTTTTTTGCTTCTTTTGGTTTTAAATTTGAAAAAAGAACATCTCCAATCAATATTTCAAATACATCATACCAAAATTATACAAATCACTTTTTTGAGGATACTTTTGTATGTTTGCACTTGAAATTATATGATTTTTACTTTCTTTTTCATCAAATTCAATTACTTCTGGAGCCATATAATAAGAAGTATCTATATTGAATATTTGAGTAGAACAACAACTTTTTTTGGTCTTGGACAATCCAAAATCTACTAATTTGAAATGTACATATCCGTTTTCCTCGTCTGTTACTTTCACCAAAATATTGTCTAGTTTTAAGTCTTTGTGTACAATATCCTTTGAGTGAAGATAAAGCATACCTTCTGAAAGTTGAAGAATGATGTCAATTGCTACAAAATTCAAGAAAGGAACATCAATGTCAAGTTTTTGCTTCCTTCTCCACATTAAAGATATAACATCTTTTACCATCAACTCTATAATAATGGAATATCCATGGTTGCTTGAAGTACAATGAAATAAAAACATTATAGTTGCATGAAACATCCCTGGTAAAGCTAACACTTCTAATTTAAAATATTCATTATTTGATCCAAAAAATATCTTTTTCGCAACTTCCATCTCCAACCAATTTACTTTGAAAAGAGTAGCAAATGCACCTTTACCTATTCGGTTGAGTTCTTGCACGTTACTATATAATCTCTTGAATAGCTTTTATAAAAAGATGCTTGATGTACTTTTAAGTCTTTCTAGTCTTTCAAGCAAAAAACAAGCCAACTCATGTTCCTTGCCATACAATGATTTCAATTCCAAGACCACTTTCTTTCGCAAAGCTTCTTCATCTTCAAAGACTCTCTTGTAAACACAATCAACTTCAATATTATTGATCTTTTCTATTTTCTCAATAAATTCTATCCACGATTTGCATGGGGGTACTTTCCAATCACAATTAGAAAAGACAAGTCTACACAATTCCAAAATTAAAGCTTATTGATGAAATATGCTCTGACACATTTGTCAATACCGTGGCTACTTCAATCCATGCATTTTGACAACAACCTTGAATGTAGCTTTCACTTTCTTTTGTCTTTGCAACAAGGAGTCCAAAACTATAGATGAAACATTTATTTGTTGGTATATAGCATGGAAGAATCTATAAGCACTCTCCATAGTAGACTCGAGTTTACCAACTAAATATTCACATTGCTCCTTGTTGAATTTAAGTGAGTTTGTTCTATCTTCTAAGGAGGTCAACTCTTTCACTTTTTTTAAACACTTAGTTGCAATTTCTAAATACAATTGCAGTTGTAAATACTTGCTTGATTTAATAGCATCAAGAGTCAAAGCTGCACGTATTAAGTTTCAATGGACCTACTTCAAATCATATGGCACTTGCAACAACCAAAATGATATAATAAAACTAACACACATTATCCCATAGTAAACCAAAAGATTATTGTATAATGGATGTATGATACTACAAGAAAGCAAATGTTGCAGCCATATAACCATAGAACTAAAACAATTCTAAAATCAAAACACATTGAAATTATTGTGGAAAGAGCATTACCCACACCAAGAACATTTAGTAGAGATAATTGGGAAGCACTAACAATATGCTCCAATCCAACCATACTTTAGAAAAGAATCCACAAATTATCTTATAAATAGTTCAAAATTATAAGTAAGAAATCACCTTATTACCTACAAAAGATATGGACATTAAACATTAGCACATGTATAAAAGAAACTAAACTATATTCTTGTGAGCTAAATATCTCTAAATATTCTATATTCTTGTGGCTTACCAAACCTCACAATAGTCAACTTAACATAGATATTCAATTAGTTACAATTGTTGCACAAGTCCATGCAAAAATACCAATTAACTCCTTCAATCAAACATAACACAAGAAGCCTTAATAAAAAAAAAATCGTAATGCAACATCAAACAAATTACAAGTTCTCATTTCTTAGCGAAAATTCATCAATTAGGTATACTTCAGCCGCAAACAAAAAAACAATCCATAAATAATGATAATCCAGGAAGGATAAATCATCCATAGATGAATGTTCACCCAACTTGGTTCATCCCGACTCAGTTCATCCTATTCATAACCTAACTTCATCCAACTCACATGTTTACGCAATGCAACCGTTCATCCTTTCTAGAAATCCACCGCGATGTGGAAAATGTCGAAAAACGAGCCTGCGGAAGCTGCGATACCAGTTGTGCTGGAAGAAATGGATTTTCTCGTCGACGCAATGGCGGCTCAAAGTAGTTCAATCTTCGGAACCCTTCACATGAATGAAAGCGGGAAAGCAAAGCTGCCTTCAAGATGACTTGCAACTGAAACAGCCACAACCGCAGCAGTAATAGCCTTAGCCACAAAAAGATGGAGGAAATCAAAACCGAAGAATCACAAGGCGAAGACGACGAGGCCAGCAACTAGTAGCTAGCAACAGGAAAGCGCCAAAAATCCTCAACGCCACTGGACCACCAACACGAACAAGAAGACGAGAAGCGCCACCAGAGAGCACCGAACGGAACAGAATCATGCGACACCGTCGCACACTTGGCGCTTCCACCACAGCGCAACCAGCACCATCCGACACCCCTGCACGCACTACGAAGAGGAACAAGGGCCGAGCAGCTCGATGCAGGACTAGAACAAACAGCAGCAGGATTCGAAGCAAGAGCAGAATAGGAAAAAATAAACGGGGAGGAAATCCGTGGACACTGCAGTGGTCGGCGGCGGCGCAATAACATCAACAGAGAAACCAGGCGCCGTCGAAAACCAGCACCTTAGCATGGACACCCGTATCGCTCGCCCTCTGACCATAGACCAACTGAACAAGAACGGCCAGATCACGTCGACAACAGCAGATTTCACAGGAACAAAAACTCGGCACCGCCGCCGACCACAGAAAACAATAGCTATGCAAACCAGCCTTGCCCGCAGCACACCCCGAAGCAGGACCGCCACCAGACAACACCGCCGCCGTCACCACAACACACCGCACCGAAACAGCAAAACCCCTAGCACCCAAAAAATGCGGAGCTCCCAAAAACAAAAACCAGCAAGAAACCAAAAGAGTCCGACCAGCAGCCGAAACCCCCCTCGACAACTTCTCTCCCCGAGAAATGTGGATCGGCATCTCGCATCGACGGCCCTCTGTGATCGAAACCACATCTCAAAACAGCACCTCCCCCATCCTCCGCGGTACCGGATGCCTGATAGGGATTCGAGCTAGCTGTAAAATCCAATGTATGTTTACAGACTAGTTGATCTTTAAAACTACCTCTGAATTTCTGTTTCCAAGACGACGAATGTATACCCACTTGTGTAACAAATTAATTCCTTCACCACGTCGTGGAGGAGTTCCTGGCTAGCTCAAAATCATCACACTAACGACGAATTATCTGTGTTTCTGGGACTCGTAGGGAGTGTCCATGTTACATGTACCTCAGTTTCGAACTGGAATGTTTATGGCTTTGTCATAGCTGGGTAGACTGCATGGAAATGGCGATGGACTTCGTGTTGCATTCTGGAGTTGGCATCATGGTCAGTTGTTTCCTTTCTGAGAACCTTTCAATTCTTAAACTGTTGGTGGCATGTGCAGTGATTGTCTTTGTGTTAACCTGCATTTGGAACTGTTCAGCACTACGTTGAAATTACGGTTGTCCTGCTCAGCTCGTGGGAGGGCACAAACTGCCCCGCAATTGTACAGCAGGGAAAGTCCTCTTGGACGAACAACCAGGTGCCTAGACTTGCCACAAAAGAATCGTGGATGCACCCACAGCTTTCATTCACACCATCTTTTACCACCACCGGAGTGATGTTGTATCTTATAAGAACTTAGTAAGCTCATATTCAGTAACAACTTAGTAAGCTTTTTATTTCACACAAGGAGGCCCTAACATTCAAATCTAAATCGACGTCGGACTGTACCACACATATCTGGTAAGTTAAAGAGAACACTTGCATATATTAGCCACTGATAATGCGCCCAGATATCTGCTAATTTTACAAAACAAAGCTTTTTGCAACATCGGCCACTAACTAATCTGAGCTCACTCGCCAAATTCCGAGGCCAGTGACAACTGCTACAGAAGCTCCGTAATCCAAGCACTCGCTGCCACCGAAGGGGCGTCATGAAAAAGTCAAGCGGTACATACATCTTACCTAGAAACACTTCCTATGCACAATTGATGGACCTGACTCGTCGTACTCTGATTTCGCGATCCACATCTGCACCACAGAAAGAACAATATGTGCAAACACCGAATTAACCAACCTCTCGAAACATACTCAAATTCCGACTGCTAACTGAAAAGAAGTTCAATATTTACCACGTCCAACGTAGAAAATATCATGCAAACTCAGTTTACCTGCTGGAAGGTGCTGAGGGATGCCAAGATGGAGCCTCCGATCCACACGCTGTACTTCCTCTCCGGAGGCGCCACCACCTTGATCTTCATGCTTGACGGCGCCAATGCCGTGATCTCCTTGCTCATCCGGTCCGCTATCCCCGGAAACATCGTCGACCCCCCCGACAACACGATGTTCCCGTACAGATCCTTCCTGATGTCCACGTCGCACTTCATGATCGAGTTGTACGTCGTCTCGTGGATCCCCGCCGCCTCCATCCCGATCAGCGACGGGTTGAACAGCACCTCCGCGCACCGGAACCGCTCCGCCCCGATCGTGATCACCTGCCCGTCCGGCAGCTCGTAGCTCTTCTCCAGCGACGAGCTGCTCCGCGCCGTCTCCAGCTCCTGCTCGAAGTCCAGCGCCACGTACGCTAGCTTCTCCTTCATGTCCCGCACGATCTCCCGCTCCGCTGTCGTCGTGAACGAGTACCCGCGCTCCGTCAGAATCTTCATCAGCGCGTCCGTCAGGTCGCGCCCCGCCAGGTCCAGTCGCAGAATCGCGTGCGGCAGCGCGTACCCCTCGTAGATTGGCACCGTGTGCGTCACGCCGTCCCCCGAATCCAGCACGATACCTGCATTCCACGCACCGCCACATCTGTTCTCAATCACCTCCCACCTCCACATCCTACCACCACCATCCCCACCCCCTCACCACTCACTCCCCACTCACCCGTCGTTCGCCCGCTCGCGTACAGCGACAGCACCGCCTGGATCGCCACGTACATCGCCGGCACGTTGAACGTCTCGAACATGATCTGCGTCATCTTCTCCCTGTTCGCCTTCGGGTTCAGCGGAGCCTCCGTCAGCAGCACCGGGTGCTCCTCCGGCGCCACGCGCAGCTCGTTGTAGAACGTGTGGTGCCAGATCTTCTCCATGTCGTCCCAGTTCGTCACCACTCCGTGCTCGATCGGGTACTTCAGAGTCAGGATGCCCCTCTTCGATTGCGCCTCGTCGCCCACGTACGCGTCTTTCTGTCCCATGCCCACCATCACTCCGGTGTGCCTCGGCCGCCCCACGATGCTGGGGAAAACAGCCCGGGGGGCATCGTCTCCGGCGAAACCAGCCTGCGCCAAATAAACCAGACCTAATTTCAGATTTTGCGCATTATGCAGAGGACCGATATGTATATAGTACTATGATTGATCAGACAATGTACCTTAGCAAATGCAAGGCGCGATTGTTAGCATGCTCGATTTGCATGGGAGAATTACAGTCGTATATGCGGTAAGCATGCATACCTTAACCATTCCAGAGCCATTGTCGCACACCAAAGGCTGGACTTCCTCACCATCAGCCATGGTTTAGTTTGGACCTGCTCAACCACTTTGCAACACCTAAGCACGAAATACAATTTGTCTTCTTTCATGAATTATCCCAAGGGAGGCGAACATTACAACTGATCCTAGTCCTGGTAGGTGGATTCGATAGACTGATGTGTAAGCAGAGAATCCTTCTGACTTCATGTTCTATGCAAACAGTGCATGGAGTCTACTCCATTAAACCTTCGGGAATCATATTACTGTTCTCACCGAGGTGACACAATTTGAAGGCTCAATTTATGATGAATGCATCAATAGCAGTGCACGAGAGGATTGGCGTGCACAAGTATATACTCGAACAGCTACGAATCATATCAAGAGCGTTGACAACAATCTGAGCGATCTGTCTATCGTGCTTTAAAACGTGTCACTCATCATCCAACCAGGTCGTAGAGTTCCTGGTACTTGAAAGTACAAGAAGACATCAAATCAAGGCGTCCTACATTGCCGTAGACAGCACGACATGCCTCCCATTCTCAACAATTGAAAATTAGCTCTTGAACGAAGCTAAGTCCCGGATCGAGCGATTCTCGTCCGTATCCAACTGCAAAGAAAAACATGTCTTATTTTCACTCCCTAAACATGATAAAACTAAAACTACGTCACGGCACCTAGCATCACATTGCCTGGAACCCTCAAATGACAAAACAATCGAGAAACATTATCAGCAAAAAAATGAATAAACAAGTGAGTGAACAAGAAACAGACTCACTCCATTCTTCACTACACAAGCATTGCGAACAGAGGTGTCACGAGTCCACGCCCCGAAAAGACAGAACTCCAATCTCCGGCCACAACCTACACACTCCTCAACCATTTTTCCAAGGAAGCACGAGACCAAACGCCGCACAAACGCATGGGTGACGATCCACACCACATCCTAATCGCGTTCACGCAACAGGAACTGCGGAGAGGAGAGATTGCAAGCAAGCAAGCAACCCTGGTTCGCACGGGCAGGTATTACCTGAATAAAAAGGCCGGAGCAGAAGCAAAAATGGAGCTCAGAAGCGCCTGCAAACGGGCGTCAGGCGCAGAAAAAGGGGAGTAGCGGAGGTGAGGCGCCAGAAAGCCGCTCGAAAAAGAGCTTAAGCGCGTATCGGTGGGAGGGCGAGAGCAACAATGGGAAGCGGATGCGGGTGATGCTCAAGAGGAGGAGGGGACGACGAAGGAAAGGCAACCACAACACAAGATCGACGGCGGAACAGCTCAGCCCCGTCCGGGCCGGTTGTAAACAATCCGGGTCGGGTCAGGTTAGGCTAGGTCGGGTCTCATAGGAATAGAAGGTACTGGAACACAGGGCCGTGTGCGTATGAGAAAACGAGGGCGACGGAAGGGGCGGGAGTCCGGGTGTCAGAGGGGCCCGGTCCTTGATGCGACTTTCCAACATCTTGTTCATACGTATAAGCATACACATATGGACATCTAATTTTGAGGGGTTGATTTACAAATCTGTTGCTATTTAACAAAAACTGTGCATGGTGATAAATATCATTTAATCGAACACATGAACTGAATACATTTAATGCTTAAAATATACTGTGAAAAATAATTAAATTAAATGGTATATTGAATTTCAAATGGTACCTGATGTTAAAATAAAATAAAAAATGTTTTGTGCAAGATGTAAAACCAATTTTTTAAACCTCACTGTTCACTGATTTACTAAGAACTGATTATGATTATCATCATTTTGCAACACAGGTTTGAGGATTAGATTTATTTGGCATAACTTTGAGTTTGAATATTTATGCAAAGTAAATTTTATTAAATGAGGTTTTTCAATTGAATAGAAGACATGTCAAAACTTCAGAAAATTAAAAGGATCAATATTCATTATTTAGGAGAATTCAATTCTCACCGAAAAAAGAAAAAAGAAACTAGACAACAAACTTTTTTTTAGTATTATTGCAAGATTCAAACAACACAAACAACTTCACTTATCAAAAACAGTTATATTACCTTTTTCTAAATCATTTACGTATTTAAAACATTGGGTAATAAAAATTTCTAATTTATTTTTTAATTTATTAACTTTGATAGGCACAAATAATATCAAAGTATATAAAGTTTTACAAGTTGGAACAACTTCATATACAAAATATTATTAGAAAAAACCTATTAAATTAATTGATAACAATATTAAAATATCTGATTCTACAAGTATCATGTTTATAAATAAAAATTACTTTAAATCTATTTTGCAATATTTTTAAGCTTGAGGTATCATCACAACTCAAGTTTTACAAAGAAAATCAAGTTATAATTTTTTTGACAATCTTTTTAACTTTAAACAATATGATTAATTGAATATTCATATAGAAGAAAGTTTGGTTAATTTATTCATTAAGCTTATAAAAACTAAGGTATTTATAAAAAATAATTATTTTTATAATTTATTTGGCAAACTTCTTAAGTTTGAATAATAATTTATAGATAGTTCTTCTAAAGAAGAAAGATATGCCAATTTATTTAGCAAGCTTATCCAGCTTGAGCAACCATTCAAATAAAATTCTTCTAAATAAATAATTATTAATTTATTTGATAAGATTTTTAAGCTTGAGAAACTATTGAAATCAATTTCTTCAGAAAAAAAAGAAAGATTTCTAAATCATTTAATAAAGAAACTCACTTTGAACCATTTAACAACTTAAGTTTTTTTAAAGAAAAAAGATTTTGAATTTATTTGGAAATCTTACCAAGCTTAATAATTAAAAAAAAAAAATCTTAATGAAAAAAATTAAAATAATTCATCTAGTATTGATTTTGAATTATTACATAATTACAAATTCAATTTTGTCAAAACTTTTAAGGTTTTTCTTATTTTATTTGGTAATATGTCAACTCAAAACACTATTTTGTGTTAAATTCTTACAAAGTAATTATTTTAAATAGTATTCTTAGAAATGTTATAGTAAAAAGAATTTCTATTAGATTTAATATTGTCAAATTTTCAAATGATTTTTAAAACTATTCATTGCATGTAATTTATTTATATAATGTTAAAAATAATAAGATTTATTACTAATTCATCTACTTGCACCATGTTTATGTTTTAAATTTTTATATCTTTATATTTTTTTAGTAATTCTAAAAGTATATCTTATAGTTAATTATAGATTTATATTATTTATTATTTATTATTTTATTTTACCATCAATTTATAAAACAACATATCTAAAAAATACTTGTATCTTATTTTGATAAATAATTATTCTTATAGATCTATATATGTAATAATATATATTTTTTATCTTAATACATATTATTGCAAAAAAATAAAATAAATGCATGTCCAAAAGGTTATCATTTTTTTTAACTTTGAAGGTAACAAAGCCTATCTTTAAATCACCTCAAAGCTTATGATTACTAACTTCTTGATCTTTGTTCAAATTTCTTTCCTTGTTTAAATTTTTTAGATTTTTCTTCACATTTCAACTTATTTTTTCTTCATAAAAATCAGCATTTAACTTTTAAATTTTAAGATTGTCCATCAAAAGATTTAAAAATTATTTTGTCAACCACAAAATCTTTTAGAAGGTTAATCACTCTTATATGAATAAGTTATAAATTACTTCAAACTTGTATCTTCATTAAGTTTTTTTACATCTAATTTACAAATCTGAATAGATTAATCTTTTACCACCTTTGGATTTTTATATTGCTGCAATGAATAGATTGTAAAATAACTATAGACATAATATTATTAAAACGACTTTTATTCTTATGTCATCCAAAAGAAATATAATTTTTTTTATTAGTTTAAAAAATTAACTTTCTTGAATTTGTTTAAATTTTTGTAGTTTTAATTTAATTTAAATACAATTTAAAATCTTAAAAATTATAAAAAAAATGTGGCATATCATAAATGTGTCTCATATCATCAAATATTGCTTTAGCTAACATGGTCTTTTCAATTCCATGCATATCAATAAAACATAATTAAATTATTGCTTGCATTATTTTTAATGCTTAATCAATGTTTTGTTTATAATTATTAATTTTTTATATTTATTTTCTTTTCTAATAAACTAGATTAAAAAATTGGTAAAATATACAATGTATATCTTAAATTCAAACAAAAAAATCTAATGACATGTTTGTATTTTGACCATCAAACAAGCTTTCTAACATGAGGCTTTCCAAATCAGCATCAACATGCATATCCTTTGGTTCATCCCTTTGATAATGTTATTTCTTATATGTTGCAAAATAAGTGATTTGATTGCATCAACTCTCACCAAGAATATATATATGTTTTAATTTTATATGTCTCTTATAAATATTTGTAGAACTTGATCTTTGCAAAGGATCAAAAGTTCAAAATCTTAGATCAAATTGATAAGATCACCAAAACTGGAATGTTAATTTGGTTTTTTACCGTTTTAATTTTCTTAATAGTTATATTTTATTGATAGATATATGCTTAAAAATAAAATTAATAAATATATATATATGCTTAATTAAAATTAAAAATTAAAAATATTAATCAGAAAAACAATATTTATTGTATAAAATTTAATATTACAAAAGTTGTCACAAACAAATATTAAGTATTTTCTAAAGTATTTTAGAATACACAATAATCTATTTCAATCTCTTAGAATTTTTAATATTTTTTTTGAAGATATCCAAAACTCTATCAAATTTATTATGATATTTTATAAGAATATAGAATCTACAATCATTTTTAAAAGTTTCTAAAAATCTTTAATAATCTTCTAAAATGCATTATTATCTTTAGTATTGATACAAAAACTTTTAAAATCTTTAAAAAGTTTATTTTAAAGAATTTCAAATCTATGGCAAAGTCATATCTAAGAATCTCTTTTAAAGGCTTTTATAAGATTTAATTGCTACAATTGAAGCAAATGCACAAAGCAAAGAATACCTTACTTTTACAAATACAAGTTTTAAAATAATCAAAGTATTTTCTTGAATTTTATTTTATTTCTAATTTAATTTTTATTTCTTAAGTACTTCTATTAATTCTATGTCTTTATATGCTTGATACAAATCACATCAATATTTACTTGATTTTAAATATATTTATATTTAAAATAGTATATTTTGATAATTATTGTTATATATATATATATATATATATATATATATATATAATCTTAAAAAATTATGTAATTATTGAATTATTTCTTGATATTAAAATACATATATGTAATTACATATAAATATATATGTTATCAATACAAAAATTAATATGTTTTTTTATAAATTTTCTATATAATCAAATTTTTAAGGAATTATTTTGAAATTATTGAAAAATTAATTATATAAATACACAAAAAATAATAAATATATATTTATATATTTATGCATTAATATAATCAAATATTACTAATTATTTTTTATCTGAATAATAAAAAAAATTAAAATTAAATCAATTTATATTTATGTGTATATGTATGCATGTATGTGTGCATGTATGTGTGCATGCATGTATGCATGCATGTATATATGAAATAAAATATTACCAACCTACAAGTCAAGTAAGCTAATTAAAATAATCATATATTTTATAAGTTATATATTATTAGAAATAATATTTAAATTAATATATAAAAAGTCACATAAAAAGTTATATTGATTGAGGAAAACATTGTAGTTGCAATAGCAAAAAATTATGTTTATATAAAATAGATTTAATAATAATAGTGACAATATTGATTAGTTTTGAGATGGTAATTTTTTTTGAAATTAATAGTATTGAAAAAAATATTGAAATAGAGTGAAATATCATAACATGTTTGTTTAGAGTGTGTAGAGACATATGTGGTAAGACATGATATTTTAAGCTAGCAACTTTAAAAATAATTAAATAGAAAAAAAAAAAAAAAATTAGCTTTTCTGGGTTCTTTTACAAAAGAATGGTTTAAAAATGCATTATAAATTTTGGAGGTTTTGGATTGTTGTTAAAGGAATTACTTATGAT